TTGGGCTTGGGCTGGAGGTGATGGATGGTCAGGGATCTGCTCAAGATCAGGCAGCAGCCCTGACATCCAGGTCTCTTCCCAGTAAGGAATTGAGGCAAGATGGCTGGTGGCATTTGGAAGGTCCAGGCACAGCTGTGGCCACATGTTTTCTAGGATACAGCCACTGGTCCAGGCTGGGGCCTCTCAGTGGGGTCCTGCTCTGCATCAGGATTCTTTGTCATGCAGGGGCTTTGGTTTTGAACTCTGAGAATGGAACTTGGCAGAAATCAGCCTCTGGTAGACAGAGGTAGAAATGATGCAATGGGGGTGGGCTGATAGTCACAGAGTTGCAGGGCAGCCAGAGGGAGGGGGCAGAGGCCAAGAGCCCTGAACCTCAGCATGGTCTGGGGCAGGAGAAGAGGCCCAGGACACTGCTGCTGCTGCTTGGCAGGAGCATCTTGATCCCGCTCTGTTCCAGTTCTGAGTTTCCAAGAAGGGTCCTTGATGCCCATTCCAAGTCTAGGGAGTGTTTAATCTTCCAGGCTGTGTGCTGTAGGAAAGAAGCACTGAGATGTGTTCTTGGGAGGGTGTAAAGGATCCTGGATCCCATTTACAGCCCTTTTCCCTCTTCCTTTCTCTCCCCTTGAAGACCCTGAGTGCTGGGGGAAAGAGGCTTTGTTGGGGGTACAGCAGAATGCTGGTGCCCCAGCTTAACTCATTGCTTCTGTTCTTGCAGGTATTGGGAGCCCTGTTCCTGGCCATCGGCCTCTGGGCCTGGGGTGAGAAGGTGAGGCGGTGGGGTAGGGCGTGGGGCTGCTGCAGGTCTAAATGATGGGAGGATCAGCACCCCCACTTGCCTCTGCTCCCCTGGTACAGGGCGTTCTCTCCAACATCTCGGCGCTGACAGATCTGGGAGGCCTTGACCCTGTATGGCTGTTCGTGGTGGTTGGAGGCGTCATGTCGGTGCTGGGTTTTGCTGGCTGCATTGGGGCCCTCCGGGAGAACACCTTCCTGCTCAAGTTTGTGAGTGCTCCCCCACCTACATCTACTGGGGACCCCAACCTTCTCCCACCCACTTCTTGCATGTATTATGTGCTTAATAATGGGTAGTTTTATTATAACAATACATATCAGATTTTTATTATTTATTTGTATGTATAGGATCCTTTCTGTTGTAATTGAGAGAAAACCAGTGGCCTAAGCATAAAAGGATAGTTATTGGCTCACTAAGAAAAGCCCAGGGGTGTGCTGGCTGCTGGCACATTGGGATCCAGGGACCACCACAGTGTCACTTGGCCTGGTCTCTGTTTCTCAGCTTAGTCCCTCTCGGTTAGCTCCATTTCCCATGGGGTCGAAGGATGCCCAGGAATGGTGGGTCCTGGCTTCACACTGTCCTCCTAGGAGCTCCTACTGGAGGCTGAGGATTCTCAACCATTCTGCCAAGTCCTTTAATTGCATCTCCTTGACTCTGATTGGCCGTGTCTGGGCCAATCCCTGTGGCCCTGGGGAGGTAGCTCTCTGATTGGTGAGCTCCTGGCCAGTGTCTAGTCCTCAATCTGGAAATCGGGAGAGGTGATCCCTCCAGCTGAGCTGCAGAAACTGAAGGTATATGTGAAGGGTGGTTTCTCAAAAACAAAACAAAACACAACAGCAAAAAAAAATAACAAAGCCAAAAAACCCCACACACAGGTAATTACCAGAGGAAGTGGAATGGATGGGTAGGTAAGGATAGCACTGTTTTTACCACCATAAAACAACAATAACATGATAGAAGGTGGGGACTCGGGACTGTCTTGGGTCCGGGTGGCACCCACCAGGCCCTGTGTCTCAGACTCCCCCATCTGTATGCCCCCACCCCCAGTTCTCAGTGTTCCTCGGCCTCATCTTCTTCCTGGAGCTCGCAACAGGGATCCTGGTCTTCGTCTTCAAGGACTGGATACGAGACCAGCTCAACCTCTTCATCAACAACAATGTCAAGGCCTATCGGGACGACATTGACCTCCAGAACCTCATTGACTTTGCTCAGGAATACGTGAGTCCAGCACTGGCCCACCACCTGCAGGATGGCACCTGCTGGGCAGATGAGTGAGGGAACAAGTTCCCCATGTGCTGGGACCATTCCCTCAACCACCCAGGCCAGGAAGGCCCTAGGCAGAGAGCCAGGAGTTCTCCTTTCTGAGAGGAAGCCAGCCCTTGGTGATCCCTGCGGGTCCCCTGTGCCTAGTTCTGCAGGAAAACAGGGTTGGGGAATAGAGGCCACAGGCTCCAAACTGGCAGTTCCTAGGCTGCCAGTAGGAATAAAAATATAGATTCCCCCTTCTTGGAAACCCTGGACCCACAGTATTGGCCAGGGCTACATTGTTGCTACCCCATTTGCTAGTACAGGGGCTCTCTGTTTGCCACTGTCTCTGACATTCTGTATTTTATTATACCCATTGGTCCTCTTCTCTTATATTATTTGTTTGGCTTCTGAACATATTAGAGTTTGAGACTCTATGCAGAAGCTCTGCCCTCAAGCTTGCATACCTACCCCTGGGAAGAAGCAGTCAGTGAACAGTTCGTGAAATCCTAGACACCTCACACCTGCAAGTTCTCGCCTACTCACACAGACACCCAGTCACACACACTGACACAGACTCCATCCCCATTGTCCAGAGATGGGATCCAGAGATGAACCAGGGCTGGCGTCTGCTTCGAGGAGCTCTCAACCCAGGGCTAGGCAGACATATAGCCAGGTGGTTAGGATGTGGTTTGACTGTTCACCCAACATGGAATTGTTCTAAGCTTATCATGTGCCAGGTCCTGGCTGGGTGCTGGGGAGTCCGTGGTGAAAAAAGTAGTGGTCTGTTCTTGTGGAGATGGCAGCCTGGGTGGAGAGACGGGTACCATCATCCCTGTGTTGCCTGGGTGGCAATATCCTTAGCCTATCCTTTCCTTTTTTTTTTTTTTTTTAAATCCTCACTTGAGGACATACTTAGAGAGAAGAAGGGAGAGAGAGAAACATCAATTTGTTGCCTTTCATACGTGCCCTGATAGGGGGTCAAACCTCAACCCAGGTATGTGCCCTGAACGGGAAATGAACCAGCAACCTTTCGGTGCACAGGAGGACTCTCAACCAACTGAGCCACTCTAGCCTGGCTCCTTTCCTTTTCCAGCCTCTCTTTGGTTAGGGGGACAAGTTCAGGAGCCCCTTCCCACTACCCTCTGCTCCCACCAACGTGGTCAGGAGCCTAGAGCTGCTCCGATGACCCTGGGCCCTGGACTAGCCTGTCTGCTGGGATGTGGTGGGGAGATGCCCACCTGCCTGGCTGCCTCTAGACCCCTTCCCAGTCTGGCCCTGTCTCTCTACAGCCTGGGCCTATCCCCAAACAAGGTGGGTCTGGCTTACCTGAGACTTTCCTCCTTCCCCTTCCCCTCTAGTGGTCTTGCTGCGGAGCCCGAGGGCCCAATGACTGGAACCTCAATATCTATTTCAACTGCACTGACTTGAACCCGAGCCGGGAGCGCTGCGGGGTGCCCTTCTCCTGCTGCGTTAGGGATCCTGCGGTGAGTGGGGCCTGATGAGACGTAAGGCAGAGGGCATTGCTGAGTTCAGGCCCAGACTGGGAAAACCTACCACAGGGCTAGCTCAGCCCCACCCTGGGAGCTGTGGATATTGGGAGGAGGTCATTTTATATGGGCTACCCTTACTAGACTGGAGTTTGTGTCCATGAGCAGCACTGAGCTCTGCTGGAGTGGGGGTTTGCCTCTTCAGCAAAACCTGTCTCTGATTGCAGTGTGATGACAGTTGCAGGTTCCTGGGCACATGGCCTAGCTTATCGGACCCCAGATACCCTGTGTTTTCAGCTAAATGTAGCGCAGGCAGTGTCTGCTCTTGGTCCACCTGAAGGTTGCCTGGGGGCCAGGGGCTGGATCACTCCCTCAGTCATGGGTATATGTGACAGGGCCCCCCCAGGCTGCAGCTATCCAACATATCCCTGGGCCACCATACTGCGGTGGCATGGAGTGGGGTTTCTCATCCCTTTATGGCTTTCTTCAGAGCAGAAACTTCTCACAGTGACATCTCTGTAGTCACAGTTCACTTGGGACACTGAGGGCAGGTTTCTTCCCATTCTCATAAAACATGAGCAGGCAGGATCCCTAAACAGGGGAGAGCTCCAGCTGGCATGTGCAGCTGTAAGTCCTGGCATCTGGCAAAGAGGTGCACAGGCCTCAGTGAGCCTCTGGATGCAGCCAAATCCACGATCCATCTGCTTCTCCTGAGAAACAAGAGTCATTGCAGTGCTGGGTGCCATGAGCCCTGGGGGTGCCCCCTCACTGGTGGCTCATTGCCTGTTTCTCCTCAGGAAGATGTTCTCAACACCCAGTGTGGCTACGATGTGCGGCTCAAACTGGTGAGAGGGGCAGGGACAGGGTTTGGGGAAGCTGGGGGCACTGGGATGGGAAGTGGCCCCTCATAAGCTCCGCTGAAAGGCCTCAGAGAGCTATGGGGAGGGGATGCTGAGTCCCAAGAACCATCCAGGCACGCAGGCCTTGGTGCTGCCAAACATGGGGGTAGTGGATCTGTGGGCATGGGCACAGGTGCATTTGCTCATTCCAACTCTTTGTTGAGCACCCACTGGGTGCCGAGTTTTGCCCAAGACACGGGATGCATGCTCCTGAGACAGATAGAGCCCGGCTCTCAAGGAGCTCCCATTCCAGTGGAGAGAGACAGGAAGCTCATCAATAAATAAATGTGAACAGTAATGTGACAATTTCAGCTGAGAGCTTGGAAGAAAAGAAAATAAGAGAGGTGATGGGATTGGGGCTGGGCAGTGAGAAAGTGCCTCTCAGAAGTGTGGGTGTCTGTGTTGAGACCCTGATGATCTGAAGGAGGCAGCCATGCAAAGGCCTGCAGTGTTAGGCCCTGGGGCAGGGTGAGATGAGGCCCATGGTGGCAGGTGGACTGAGCCCCGTCCCTCTGTGTCCCCAGGAGCTGGAGCAGCAGGGCTCCATCTACACTAAAGGCTGTGTGGGCCAGTTTGAGAAGTGGCTGCAGGACAACCTGATCATCGTGGCCGGGGTCTTTGTGGGCATTGCCCTCCTCCAGGTACTATGGAGACTTCACATGCTGCCCCCACTCCTTTACCCCAGCTCCCCAACCCTGCCGATGGCCTCTCCCTCATCTCCTCTCCCTATTACAGATCTTTGGCATCTGCCTGGCCCAGAACCTTGTGAGTGACATCAAGGCAGTGAAGGCCAACTGGTGAGGCTGCCACGCTGGCCATGGCTACCCGCCTGGCCTACCCAGGGACCTGCCACTGTGCCATGACGGGCATAGCTGCAGGAGGCATTTCTGCTCGGACCCGAGCCCCATGTGGGGCTTGTGTGTGGGTGTGCTATGTGCCCACAGAGAAAGCCGCATGACTCTGCCTGGGTTGCCTGTTCTGGACTTGTGTGCATGGAGGTGTGCGTGTCAGTGTGGGTGTGCAGAGGGAGCCGCTGTCTCCACTGCTGCGTGGTAGGCTCTCCAGGGGACTAGGAAGGGCGCAGGCTGGACACACCTCTCCGCATGGTGGTATGGGGGATGCTGGGGCCTGCTGTTGCCTGAGATATGGCCTCACGCAGCTTCAGAGTTCTCTATTAGCTGTGACCTTGACCCTTCCAGGATCTCACTTCAGCCTCAATGTCTCAGACTCTAAAATGAGTCCAAGAATTTTTTCTCCCTTGCTTGCCTCTCAGGATCAAACATGATGATGGCTACAAACTACTCAAATAAACAAGACCTTGAAAACCACTGGCTTACCTCCACCATCTGGTTCTGTCAGCTGCAGGGTCCCTGGCCCGGACCCACCCTGTGCTGTTTTCTTCCACCTGGGTCGTGTATACATTTGAGCCAAACTTTAAAACTTGGTATATTTTATATAAAAGTCCAGATCCCCGGCTTCTCTGGAAGAATGGCCATCTGGTGGCAGCAGCTCTTTAGTGGCAACGTCTCCTGGGGCACACACTTCCCATTCTCTGAGGCCCTGCCTGACCCTGTAGGCTGGGAGTTGGCCTTCCCCACCTCTGTAGGGTTACTCCCTGCCAACACCTGGAGGCTTCTGTGGCCAAGCCTGGAGGGAAGCACAGGGACGTGAAGAAGGGAGGCTGGACCCTGCCTTGAAGAGGACAGGGAATTGGGGGCTGACCCTGCTGGGGACTGAAAATGGGTGGTTGAGGGGTGGGATGGAGATCAGGAAGGTTTTGGGAAGGAAGTAGCTGGAAGCCCACAGCTAGGGGTGGGGAGCCTAGTTGGGGGGTCATTGATGATTGACTCCTGGGCTCACTACTTGGAATCAAGTTAAAAATCTTCCCAGAGGCCTACGGAGCTGCCTTTTGGCCACCAGAGGTCGTGCCAGTACAGCATTCCTGCATCTGGCTTTTCTCTGGCAACCTCACCAGGTAGTCAAGTGCCTGGTGTGTCCTCCCTGCTTACTAGTGCTTCCCTGGCTTTCTGATAACTTGAAAACTTCTAAAGGAGCAAACTGACTCAGACTTGGGAAAGCCTGGCTGTTCTTACCAGCTCTGCCTCTTATCAGTTGCATGAAGGGATGTGTGTGAAGTGACTGCCATACCCCTTCCTGGGCTGCCCTTCGTGGCTAGTTCCCAGGTCTCAAACTCCGATGTCCTGAGAGTTGGGTAGGTCATATTATAGATGAATGAAGTTGCCCTTTGAGTAGTGAGGCCTTTGTAGTGCTACTTTGACTTTCCCATTGTTACTGAAGAGAAACATTGCTTTGTGACAAGAGAAATGTAAGGGTGGGCAAACGTAGTTTTACAATTGTTCATATTGAAATTAATAATAATACAAGAATAAACTGTTTTGCATACTCACAACTCTAAACCTACTTTTGCCCACCCTCTGTAATGCACAATCAAGTTGATAATGGCAACTGGCCTTGAGAGACAATAGGGTATGGTGGGGATTATGGCAAAGCAGATTCCCATCTCAAGCTGGTGGCTGTCATGTAGTTGTAGCTAATTGCTATAAAGTGAGAATGCAGGCCTAATGTTAGTAATCTGGAGGAGCCAGAAATCCAGATTTTTATGAAAAATATTTTGATTTTTAAGTTGTTGGCAACTAATGAAAAAAACAAACCTGTGATCCAAACAAAAGTTGTGGGGCCCACTTAGGCCCCTGTGCCACTGTAGATCCTTCACCCACAGGGACCCTGGTTGCTTGTGCTGCCAGGTGAGCAAGGTGTGGGGCATGCACCCAGCATCATGTCCTGGGGTCCCTGACGGGCACTGGTTGCAGGGGGTTATAGGTGCTACAATAAATTCAGCTCACAGTTGTGTGCATTTGTCTCGTGTCTTCCAATTTTAAACGTTTTCACTTTCGTTTCCCCTCCAAACCTCACAACCCCTGTGTGAGATGGTGGTTCTCTTCCTGATGAAACTTCAGCTTAGAGAAGGGAGGGAGTTGCCCAGCACACAGCTGGAAGAGGCATCCAGCTCTGACCCCTCTCACTGGAGTTCTACCCCAGACTAGTCCTGTCTTTCTGACACATCAGGATAAAACCTGTACACTCACAGTGCTCACCGATGACGGGCAGTAAGGTATCATTCCCCAAGCATGAGTTGAGCATCCACTTAAGTGCTGGGGATGTAGGGGAGAGAAGGGCAGGGTCCCGGCCCTTGTGCTGCATTCTTGAGGGGGAGACACAGGAACTAGCAGTCAAGTAAGCATTTGTGTTAATAATATATGCATGAAAGAGGAAGAGGGATGGGCTAGACAGTGACAGCTGGGGTGTCTAGGAGAAGTGACCATTTGAAGGGGATGGTTGGAGGAGGGGGTGCCATCTCTGGGAAGTTCCAGAACATTATTCCAGGCTTTAGTATCAGCTGCCCTAGAGGTCCTGAAGCCAGAGTGGGCTCAGCCTGAGGAAGCCTGGGGTGCTGGAGAGGTGGGAGTGGGTGAGAGGCAGAGGGCACAGACAGAGAGGTAGTGGAAACAGGTTATATTTGGAAATAGGATTGGTGGAATGGGATAAGAATGGTAGGAGTGATCACAACCCTGGCTGGGGACCCAGAGTTCTCCAAAGCTCAATTCTGCCAC